CGTGGACACTTCTGTTGTTCCGTATATGGTTCACTTTGATACACCGAGAGAAAATGCTGCGGTCTTGGCAACACCGCTTGCTTTTATTTCCTCACGAACTTAGAGACTTGCCAGCTGGTGCACATTACACCAATTTTCAAAGGAGTTCGATACAATGAACCTCCAAGTTGCCAGTGTGTAGTGCTTTCTTCAAAACCCCTAAATGATATGGATTCTTTGATATGCAACGTTTTACATGACTAATTTTTCCATAAATTTCTTTTTCTCTCTATAAAGACAGTTTCAGAAAGGGCTACTACTTCATATCTAATCAGCTGATTGTTGTGCATAGATGGACGACCGTACAGGATCAGGAGGGAACGCTAAGTGTAGCATCTTGATTTGTGAAAATCTTTTGATAGGGTCAGCCATACATGTTTCATCAACAAGCTAAAATTTTTGAATATCAAGGCAGTGTTAGTAGTTCTGTTCGCTTCGTATCTAAATAATCAACTTTTTCGGGCCATAGCATACTTTACTTTTACTTCCGGTACTAGGAACTATTCTCATTTTAATCCATACGAAAGAATGTCATCGGAGATATTACTTTACTCTGACACTGTTAAACCCTGAAGAGAAGTTGAGGGCCAAGATGATAATCTGGCACTTTAGGAGGATCTGATTTGACTCAAAATGTGAGCAGATAACAACAGACTTACTGTTAACACTGAAAGTCGTAAACTAGCACGTCTGAAATATGTTGAAGACCACACATACAACTTGGGCAACTTCCGTCTAGAAGCGTCGTATATCGGTGAGTATTGAAGTATTTGTTTTCTATCATCTAGATCCTTGCGCTAACTGTGGCAAACATGCAGTTCGAGCAAACTTTTTACGGAAATTTTTGAAGCGGGTTTTTGTGGTTTTGTCTAAAAAATTCCATCTAATCTCAAACGGTTTCGTTCAGTGCTGGACAAAATACGCCGGGCATAATGTTGCCTCCTTCATCTATCTGCCCCATACTATACAGGAGAGGACTTGTCTGGATCCAGGCTAATGCCTTGACACGAAAAACACACTGGTTCAACCTTGAGGCCAAAAATGAGTGAGTTTGAAACGACACTAACGGCATTGGATAGAAGGGTGGAAACTTTTCTACCACCTAATTCATTGACAAGCGAGAGAGCAAGAGGGGAGACAAATCAACTAGAACACTACTTAACTTATTCCTGATTCAAATCGGTGTAAAAAGATGCAGGAATAGATATCTGAGTAACACGGCCATAATGCACAAACAAGTGAAAAACACAGTTACGTTCAGTCTAGACATTAGTGTAGGAAAATGGAGTACAAGAGGTCATGTTTAAATTACAACAGTTACGAAATAGAAAAAGGCATAGTAATGAATCATATATCAAACAAAAGCTTATAGTTTGTAGAAAAAATTAGGGACAAAACTAAATTCTAGTATCCTACTAACTTTGGATGTCGTGAAATAATGTTCCCAAAAATGGTTTCCGTTGTTTGTCCTGGCTTCCTTATATCACTATTCATGTCACATAGTATTTGTTTCTTGGTCCACAAAATGAAAATAAACTTGGAAATATCCAGCGGCGAGCGACGAAATTAGTCCGACGACTCAACTTCAGGCCGTATGAGGAGCATTTCAAGCCAGTGTATCTTCACCCACTGGAGCATTAGTGTCCCTGAGGTGGCTTTTTAACAACCTAAAGCTTCTCAAACACTCCTGAACACCCTCAAAAATACCTACTTAGGTTCAGTCCCAACACAAACCTAAGGGGATACAGAGAGAAATTAGCGACGCAATATAGCAGAATGGACTGTTGCTTACTTACTTACTTACGCCTGTTACTCCTCGTGAAGGAGCATAGGCCGCTCACCAGCATTCTCCAACCAACCCTGTCCTGGGCAATCCTTTCAAGCTCTTTCCAGTTCTTATTCATCTTTTTCATATCTGCTTCTATTTCCCGACGTAATGTGTTCTTTGGCCTTCCTCTTTTCCGCTTCCCTTCAGGATTCCAAGTTAGCGCTTGTCTCGTAATGCAGTTTGATGATTTCCTCGATGTATGTCCTATCCATTTCCATCGTCTTTTCCTAATTTCTTCTTCCGCTGGAAGATGGTTGGTTCTCTCCCGCAAAAGGCTGTTGCTGATGGTATCCGGCCAATGGATGTTGAGTATCATGCGTAGACAGCTATTAATAAATACCTGTACCTTCTTGATGGTGGTTGTTGTAATTCTCCAAGTTTCAGCTCCGTACAGTAGAATTGACTGCCTTGACGCTCGTATTGAAGATTCTGACTTTGATATTGGTTGAAAGTTGTTTTGGGTTCCATATGTTCTTCAGTTGAAGGAATGCCACTCTAGCTTTGCCAATCCTCGCCTTGACGTCTGCATCTGAACCTCCTTGTTTATCGACGATGCTTCCCAGGTATGTGAAGGATTCCACGTCTTCCAGAGTTTCGCCATCAAGAGTGATTGGAGAATGGACTGTTGGCACACCTTATATTCTTTACGAGTAGTCAAATTTTGGAATTCACTTCTGACTGAGGTAGTTCAAGCGACTTCCCAGAAGTCCATAAAGAGGAAACTCAACTTATTCCTAAAGGCCCAGGGCAGAACTTCATCATAATTTAATAATATTTCTCCTTCACTTGTGAAATGTACCTAGGTCACTAACTAAAGGCATCGGTAATCCAATGCTACTAAGTACGGAAGCCCGTTAAGAAAAATATTCTTTAATTCTGTCCGTGAAAATTTTCGGAATTTTGCTTATTGAATGAAAACAACAAAAAGCGAGCGCAAAGAAATCCACTGATCTATACAAGCTCGTGCTAAACATATTGTATTTTGGATGTTGCAATGTATTAGTTTTTGTCCCGACAGGTAAGATAGGCGGTCTATTTGGACCTGTCATCCAACCTCTGAAGAATACAACGATAGGATGGTTTTATTAGTCCTTAATAAAGTACCAGCTTTCCCACTATTCAGTTAAGTTTTGAGATTCACTCAACGAAAATCTGTAATCTTTCGATTATTCAAACATGTACTCAGGTTACTACCTGCAAGTGTAATTAATCAAAAAAGTTTAAAATCTTAGTAAACCGTTTGAAATAAAGAAATTTTAGAGCTAATATTTAGATATCCCTGTTGACAAGCATAGTAGTAAAATATCCCGAGCTCATGGATTCCATAGTAATTCAATTCAAGGAGTACATAGCAGCAAGCCATGTCAAATAATCCTAGTATATAGAAAGACTGAGACTTTTGGACAAACACGTGACCGAATTGCTGTGAAATAATCCATCTGTCCACGCCGAGTACTGTACTGCTTGTGGCCGTTTAAAAGCAGATAACATGAATTTCACACAGTGGGTGCACTACTTTTAGGTTTCAGTTTGGAAAGAATAGATGGCTTGTGTCATTCCTAGCAATGGTGGTCTTTCATTTGACTCGACTTTTTGTCGAGATCGTCGACAGATGGAGTTTCATCCACGCTTTGAGGTAATGAATCCCATTCCTTGATGATTCGACTGGATAGTCGATAGTCAGCTGACAAGTAGTTTGTTCTGGGCTTATGGACATTTTAAGTATCCTCGTAAGTTCTCTGATTTGGAAGACAAGAAAATTAGGGACACATCGGATGTGAATTTACTACTAAGTTGTTTAAAAACTGTGACCAAGACATTTCTGGTTCTTCTATATGACAATGAGTTTAGTTTAGCCAGTCTGTTATCATACGGGAGCTTTGCTATTCTGAGAATCATTTCAGCTGCAGTTCTTCGAACCTTTTCCAACAGCTCACTCTTTCTAGGCAAGGACTAGCTGCTTGCATGCAGTACTGGAGTTTAGGGCGAAAAGCACTGTATACAAAGTCGAAAAGTTCTTAGCATCGACATGGCTGAAGACTAACACATGGACTATAGGGTTCAAAGACCTTTGGCAGCTGTTGCATGGGGGTATGCGGTAGCTTTTAGGTCTCCCGTACTTTTTGTTAACTCCCAACTAGGAAGTCCTTTATCCACATATGTTACCTCGAATTTCGATATCATAACTTATATAACAGCCAGTTGAGAGAAACTTTGTCAAAAGCTTCACTAAAGTCAATGTGGGCTACATCTATAGATAGGTTTTGGTATTTATAAGCGCACAAATTTCACGGGCTACTAATTTGTTAAGGAGACAGGAATAACCTGTTCTAAAGCCATGTTGCTTTCCAAAAAAGTCCAGTTTTCATCTAAGTACTTAAACAACTCCCTCCGAATAATGTTTTCTAAAATTTTACTAACCACGCCAGTTAGGCTTACAAGTCAGCAGATCTCAGTTTTATGTTCCGTACTTGTTTTGTAGCCCCGGAATGCTGAGGTGTGGCGAGGGTGGGGTGAATCCTCTGTCCTTCCCGAAATGCTCTCACATGACTACGCGTGTACAGCCACTGACAGGGAAGTCCTACTGACTGCCTTCTCGCGAACACTACTGTTGTTTACGAAATTGAGAGGACGAAAAGCGAGTGTCCGGCGCTTTAACCGAGTTGGTGGATATAGAGGATCCACCTAGGGGAGTTAGAAAATTCTGATTCCAACTTAACGGTACACGTGAGACCCCGGATCCTGGGAGAGCAAATGGCGCATGAAGTTTTTGTGTGTTAGCGGCTAGTTTTTATGAAGCTAGTTCGTCTTTATTGGAGTATTGTACGTTGAATTTATCCTTACTTGTTTTAACCTCCGTTTTTTCCTAAACAGGTGACTGCAGTAGAATAGAAGAATCTAGCTTAGAAAAGTTACTGAAGCTTTACATTCGTGTTTATAGTAGTATGAAATATAAATATCAATAGAGAGGTGTAAATGGTCGGTTTCTGTCCATTACAGTTCATGGGATTTGAACTTACTTCCTAATACTTGAAATAATGCCATTAGTTCATATTGGTCTATACCTTTAACATGTAGACATCCTTTAAGCGATATTTTTCTACGCATCGTGGTTTGAAACCATGGTCGTTGTAGACGTTTAAGGCGGCCAATTTAAACTTTAACGTAGCGTCCAGAAAATGGTGTTGAAGTCTGGAGCCTCCTCGTTTATGTCTTTGTTGTTGTTGCTTATAGTGTTTGCAGCTATGCGGTTGTTTGCGGAAACATTGTCTTCTTCACAAATTTTGACAATCTTCGGCGGATTTTCCGGCAGTTTAGTTTTTGTTCTATTAATCACGGTATTAATTTCTTGTGTTCAAATAACATTGTAGTTTGTAAATAATTTGGAAAGGACACTTTTTGGTGATGAGTTCTGCTCCGGAGTTTTTCCTGAAGGTACTGTCGATTAAAATCTAACATACTTGGAGTGGCCATATGCATTTTCATTGCCTGTTCTTTCTCTGCGACTATACATCGGGTGTGCGGCACGACATGGTAAGATTGTACTAATTTGACACAAGTTATTTCAACGTTTTAAAATTTCGTACTGGTGCTAGTGTTAGGTTTGGTCAAATTGATGTTTCAAACTATTGGAATTCCTATTCCATAGTATGGAGGACGGTTTTCAAAGAACCGGATATACTGGGTGACTGTTTTGTCCTAATGCGGGGTTCCTCAGTAGCACATATCCACGGTACCGCACGCAGGATTTGAATCGAGGACCTTTAGTCTCGTACTCGAACTCAACTTTTAAACCATTGAGTCGGCATCCAACGGTGTTTATATCTAACTCCAATCGATCCATGATCTTTCGCAAAAATTCATCCATTGTTTGAGGTGAATGACTGTCATAAACCAACAATTCCCACTGAACATTAACCTTGTACTGAATCTCTATTATAACACTTCTGATCGAGCCAGAGCTTATGGCGAACTATCGTCGGAATTGGTTACTTCAAGTGGTGTTTATCAGGATTGTCTGCTTTCTCCATTTATATTTAACTTTGCCATAGACATGCTTTAAAGATAACGCTCGTCGTCTGGCTTTTCAGGAGTTGATCTTCTAACGGGATGTTTACTCGTTAATTTAAAATACGCAGGTGATATGGTTCTGTTTTGTGAAGACGCTGACATAGTGTAGTCTATTGACCACCCTAAGTAAAAGTGCGGACATATTTGAGATGCAGTTCTTTTCCTCCAAATGTTACTTCACGATTGGCTGGTGGGATCGTTACGATATCAAATCTCGGTTTTTGTCAACTTACATTACTTGTAGCATAGGTGAGGTATCCATTTGTCAACTAAAGGGCAAGTTTTCTGCTCAGTAGTTCGGTCTGTTCTACTATATGAGTGTGGAGCATGGTCACCGATAACAGGATATTTATAGGTTACTTGTATAGCATAAAAAGACATCGTTTGACGTGGTGAAACCCCTACAACTGACTCGAAGATAATCGCAAGTTGATTTTATCGCGATCATTGATGAGGTAGCAAATGTTCATCAACTGAGGTGGTTGGAGCATGTGTTATGTACGCCAAACCACCGCTTACATCGACGGGGGGATGTTTTCTGGTACAGGAGTGAACTGGAAGATATCTAGGGGCGACCAAATCAAGACTTGACATCAGCCCATTATGCAGTCAGTCAGCTACAATGTGGGACCAGGCACATATATGCATCGGTCCAAGTTGCCATACCGCATTAGCACAACAAGATAAAGACCGGATTCATACAAGTAGTTAATTCAGTGGTGGTGATATTTAAAAGAAAGATTGCATATAAGGATATAGTACAGGAAGAAAAAATTAGTACGTAGAAAGAAAGATATGGGGCGACTTTAATTTTATAGTTTAATGGAAGACAGAGAGTGTATACATCTATGCCATTGTGATCGATTCTGAGCTATGTCACCAAGAGTCTCCAACCATTGGTTACGATAGTCACACGGACTCCAACCAAGTAGTTTGCATCTATCAACATGAATCAGACTAGAAGTTAGTGACTTCAAACACTGATGCCATGTTTTGGTTTGGCTGCCCCTAACTTCTTTCCAACCATCCCCAACACCGGTTAGCATTGCACGTCGTGGCAATGGGTGTTCAGGCATACGTAACACGTGGCTCAACCATCTCAGTCGATGAAGATTCACAACCTCATCAACTTATTTACCATCATTCCCATGCTGCAAGTGACATTTGGACTTAGTCATGTTAATAAGTATAAACTTACTGGTTGGGTTTCACGTGATTATCATAACAAGTGGTTGGAGACTTTAAATGACATGGTTGAAAATCATTTGCAATGGTACCTGTGCATCCACTCAGTGTTCCTCCAAATCCTGGGATTTTAAATTTCCTGTAACGTGTTTTCTGTGTTTTTATTTCACCAATTGATATTTTTTTGGAGTCGTGTCTTCGGTGCCTAATCTTTCCTATTACTACTGATACTGTTACTTTCTCTATTGTTCTGGGATTTGGCCTGACATCTCTGTGCTAGTGGGGTATGGCAACTTGAACCGGTGTACGTACGTACAGATTCTACGTTGACTGACTGACAACCAATGTAGCTCGACTGAGTCGTCAGGAAAACCGAGCCCGACCATCACATCAAAGTAGTAGCTACGGTCGGACCAAGAAGTACTGTAACTTCGCATAGCGTTTGTACTATAGAAACAATATTGTACTTTGTTTATTGATTTGTATTTATGGTAAAGGTCATCTAATTGTTTCATTTGTAGTTTCATATTTTCGCTGGTGATGTTGTATTATCTGAGTCGCATTTCTCATGAAGTTTATCAAAGTAAAGAGCAAGTGACCACAGGTGGCTCATCGAGGAAGAAAAAAGAATGAAATTTCCGGTTTGTTTTCAGCTAGTAGTACTTTTACCAAGTTATTTTTCTTGGCCTTTAGATGTGCTTTTGTATTCGAACTGTAAAGTTGCAATAAATATTCTAATTTTCTTAAAAGTTTGTTTTTTGTTTAACAGCTCGAAATTTGAACAAAATTTAATCTTATTAAGTCTTAGTAAACATTTAAAGGTCAAACAACATTTTTATCATTATTAACCGAATTGTATTACACAGGAAAGAAGTTCACAGGCACTGCTAAAAAGTGAAATGGTTATTTCATTTAATTTACAGTTAACATAATAGCATATACTAAGATAACAGATATTGCGTATCAATGAATGCTAATGCAAATTAGCCATAGCGCAGATAATATAGGTCTTGTAACTCTACGGTTGGACGCATTCTTTTGGTTTCATGTGTAAGGAACACAGGGCTTAAGACATGTTGTATATGTCAATTTATAAGATGCTAAAAATGCGTACTATTGGATGAATTTGTTTTTATTTTGCGACTTCAGTGAGACGGATATGATGCATATGTACTGATAATCATGTCCAAATAACTATTTTGAGTCAGCACGATTTAGTATAGCCTAAACTGCTGGCCATACCATTGTCACCATTTATTATTTTTAAACATGTCATCGGTATAGTGTAATCGGTTCGTCTCACTCATAGAATTTAGCCACCGAATGCCCTGGTGTGGCGAGGGTGGGGTGAATCCTCTGTCCTTCCCGAAATGCTCTCACATGACTACGCGTGTACAGCCACTGACAGGGAAGTCCTACTGACTGCCTTCTCGCGAACACTACTGTTGTTTACGAAATTGAGAGGACGAAAAGCGAGTGTCCGGCGCTTTAACCGAGTTGGTGGATATAGAGGATCCACCTAGGGGAGTTAGAAAATTCTGATTCCAACTTAACGGTACACGTGAGACCCCGGATCCTGGGAGAGCAAATGGCGTATGAACCCATTGTAGGTTACCGGCTACCATGGGACTACATCTTACGCCGCTCCACTGTCTTATGGATTAGACCTCTGTTTTGAAGGCTCCGAGTGTGGCCCTCTAAGGAATCCACCTGTTTCAGTTTGTGTACCCGAGCATTATCACAGCCTTCACACAAATCAAGTGACCTATGTGACGCAAAGTATTTTGTGCCTCCTTGTACCAATGTTTATGCGTCCAAATAAATAAATAAACCTACTACAGCGTTCTTATGGTCTTTTTGCAATCTACTTTGGGTTAAAGTTAGGTTAAAATATATGCTTAAGGAATTAGCGATAAAATTTGCAGTTCGTTTAGTAACCTGGATGCATTTCTAACTTTTGTTATTTTCCCTTATTGCAGCCGTGGGAGGCGGCAACTATTTATTAACATAAAGATCCAGTCACATGTCGAAACGCTCTGGCTTAGGTGTGGTATGTCATATTTGTCCAGCTACTTAACTAGAAGTAAGATCACTAGCGAAGAGTTATCAAAACCTTTAAAATTGTCAAAGCCATCTTTGGATAGTGATGAAGAAGACTATAACGATAAAGATTGTTTCCGATTACATGAAGCAGATATAGATGGTATCTGATTGTTTGCTGTATATTATTCTACAAGGTCAGGAAGCTACGACTTTAGAGTATGATGATGAAGTTAAAATAACTCCATTTAACATGAAAGAAGAGCTTGAGGAAGACGGACACTTCGATTCTGCAGGCACTTTCATTTTCAAGAAAGTTAGTAGTAAAATTATGATTAACGGTTACTATTATTATAGCAAGTTGATGCTCGTGATAATTGGTTAGAAGATATTAATTGGCTAGAAGTCAAGAAAAACCAGGAAAAGAATTCATTGAAAGACACATCGATAAGCGATGAACTAGGCGGGAAAGTGCTAAGTAAAGAGGAGAAACTTGCTTTATACCAAGAACTCTTATCTTATTTGCAACCTTCTGAAACCGTTCTGCGCAGTATCAGACGTATGGGTGCCTGTTCAGATGCTAAGAAGTCCGCTTCAGCCAGCCAACGCTGGCTACGAAATAAAAATCCGAAAACTGAGACTCAGACGTAAGTTTCACATATAATGTTGTACTTGTGATTATGGTATACGTATTCCAGTATATCGTGTTGTGTTAGGGATGATGTCTGGACAACTCATTACAATTGTGATACGAAGCGAAGTATAGCGTTCTGTTTGTTTCTAATTTCGAAATTGATATTCATTCATCAGCGGTAAAAGAGAATAATGATATGAACATCATGGAGAAATGTTTTACTCTTTGTGTAATTAGAGAAATTCATCGAAACATTTGGAATTGAAAATATCATTTACTGAAACGGTACAATCGTATTTGTAATTATTTAGCACACACAAGTCTGTATTAAAATAGATGTTACATATAAAAAGTGATCGGAAGTGTTTCCAAGTACTACAAAAACGTTAAGTGGAAATAGATTATAGATAGAAGAAAAATTTCTGCTCACAGAGTATTGGGAAAATGCGGATGAACAGAAAAGAGTGGTTATAGCCTCTTAAGTTATATAAAGTAATATTATTTTTTGTGCACCCGGACAGTATCAAAACTCACTCACAGCTAATGCGACTTGTGTGGCGCAAATGTATTCGGTGTCCCTTTATACCAATGTGTATTTGTTTAAATGAAATAAGTAAGTATGATTTCAATTTGATTACCGAAAAAATACGAAACGGAACAGATGTAACTGGGAAACTAGTTCATGGATAATAAACAATAAGCACAATGATGGATGAACCGTCATCGAATATACAGAAAACGTATGAAGTACGATTGATGGTAATTTATTGATGTATTTTGTAGCGATTTAAAAAATAAAGGTTAAAATCAAATTTAGCGTGTGCTTAATAGGGTTTTTTATCGGTCTATTGGTTCCAGCCTGACATTCATTTCTCTCCTGGTGTTGTCCACCTCTCCGTTCCGGTATTTCTTCAACAATCACCCCATGAAAAAAGCGTTGGGTTCTCAGCAACTGAATTATGAACGTACCGTTTTGTCTATGATACCAATGGTTAGTACTACCACATCTGCCATTATACTTTCGTAGTTGTGCCACATTTTGAACAATAAGATCAGGGGATCGCGGTTGTGGGTCTTAACCACAAAACGGATGAAATATATTGCAATAGCAAACAATCCAGATTCTCTCTTCAGCGGTTTCAAATGGCAGCTGAGCAAGGTGGCATCACATTGTCTGTTTGGATGAGCATCTTAGTCTATGTTGTTGTATCTATCATTGAACTCTTCCAAGTTTATAGAAATATCATCTTCATGACTTAACGTTGCATTCAAATTCACTTTCGTTCGATAGTTGGTAATATTTATTAGCTGGATTCCTGGTATCCCTTCTTCCGTAGAAGTGAAGACCTGCTTATGAGGCTCAGGTGCTAGGTATAACGTCAACGGTGTTTGAGACAACCTTTTGATGCTTATGGAAATGAGGATCACAACCCGTCTAATGGCAGTATGCTATCCTTTCATAATTTCCGATAGCGATCGGAACGCTCGAAACCATACATCTAGTACTTTGTAAGTCACGTTCGTAGTTTAAAAAAGGTGTTCATTCGATGAATATCTAAGTTTTATATCATTTTTCAGAAAAATAACTAATAATTACCATTTTAAAACTAGTCATTGTGTATGCTCACTGCTGACGAGTCCTATGGTAGGATGAAATGCCCGTCAAGTGATTCCAGGTTTTCAATGGTGGTCAAACATTGATCGATTTATGATCGAAATTAGTGAATTAATTTGATTGGACAAAATGGGATGAAAAAAATTATAAACCAGATATATAAATAGCCGTGCGATAAATGGTTACTTACTTATGCCTGTTGCTCCTCGTGGAGGAGCATTCTCCATGCAGCTTTGTCATGTGCAGTCCTTCCCAGCTGACATTTATCCTTTTCATATCTGCTCTCCGGCCTTCCTCTTTTCCGTTCACCTTCAGGATTCCAAGTAAGCGCTTGCCTCGTGATGTAGTTTGGTGATTTCCGTAATGTATGTCCTATCCACTTCCAACGTGTTTTCCTAATTTCCTCCTCAGCTGGGAGTTAGTTTTTTCTCTCCCACAGTAGACTGTTGCTGATGGTATCCGGCCAGTGGACATTGGGTAACTTCCGTAGACAACCGTTTATGAATACTTGTGCCTTTTTGATGATGGTTGTAGTAGTTCTCCACGTTTCAGCTCCGTACAGTGGGACTGTCTTGACGTTCGTATTGAAGATTCTGACTTTGATATTGGTTGATAGTTGCTTTGAGTTTCATGTGTTCTTCAATTGTAGAAATGCGGCCCTTGCTTTGTCAATCTTCGCCTTTACGTCTGCATCCTATCCTCCTTGTTCATCGATGATACTGACCACGTACGTGAAAGATTTCACATCTTTCAGAGCTCCATCGAGTGTGATTTGGTTGTTGTTCTCCGTGTTGTATTTGAGGATCTTGGTTTTTCCCTTGTGTATGTTGAGGCCTACTGATGCAGACAGTGGCTTCTGCTACACCAGTTGTCTTCATCTGCATTTGTTCGTGTGCATGGGATTGTAGGTCCAGGTGATCTGCAAAGTCCAAATCTTCTAGTTGATTCCGAGCTGCCCGTTGTATTCCGTGCTTTCTCTCAGAAGTCGAGTTCTGCACAGTCTAGTCAACCACCAGAAGATAGAGGAAGGGTGAGCGTAGGCAGTTTTGTCTGACTCCGCTCCTTACTTGAAATGCATCTGTCAGCTGTCCTTTATTCACAAATCTGCACTGTAGTCCGTCGCATGAGTTCCGGATAATTTTGACAATCTTCTTAGGAACTCAATTGTGCCGAAGAAGTTTCCATAATATTCTCCTATCTACATTGTTAAACGCCTTATCATAGTCAATTAAGTTGATGTATAGTGACATGTTCCACTCAACTGATTGTTCGACGATGATCCGTAATGTTGCAATTTGGTCTGTGCACAACCGATCCTTACGGAATCCAGTCTGTTGATCTCGAAGTTGGGCGTCTACTGAATCTTTCATCCAGTTCAGAAACACTGCTTGTCGTCCCTAATGCTTTTCTTCACTTGTTTCTTCTGGTTTTGTGTATTCATCTTTTGCCTTGTCTTTTTCTGTTCTTGTTCGGCTGTTGTCATATACTGTTTTCTTCTACCTTTACTCAATTCTGTTCATGGTTTCCATAGATATCCATTCCTTATGATGATACTTCTTGCGGCCCAGAAGCTCCTGACATGTTGAAGTTAATACTTCTTTGATCCCTTCGAAGTTTACTCCATAGTAGTGACACCTTCTTTAAGCAAATCTTGTAAGGCCTGGAACCTGTTGTTGAGAGTTATCTTGAATTCCTTGAGTTTGTTAGTATCTCGTAGGAACGCTGTATTAAACCTTTGTACTTCTGTTTTCCCAGCTGTCTAGTGTTTCTTTAGCTTCAATTTCACCTTGGTAACCACCAGTTGGTGGTGATCTGAAGTTATCTCAGCTCCTCTGCTGGTTCTCACGTCTTCCATTGACCTTGTGAATCTTTTATTGATACAAACATGATCGATCTAGTTCTGTGTAGTGTGATCCGGCGAGAATCATGTGTATGCGTTTGTGTACGAATATCGTGCCGCCACACATTTATTAAGGCAGGGAGAAAATAGGTATCTTGTTTTATCGTTAGACGATAACGTGGATAGATAGAAAAACAGATAGACAAGGATATAGATGGATAGAAAGAGGGAGAGATAGACTTATGGTTGTGCAGACCGAGTGTTAGCTATATAGATAAATTCGTAGGTAAGTCAATTGAACGTTAGTTACTCGGGTATATATATATATATAGTTAGAAAGGGAGATAATAGACAGATTGACTAGGTGATGGATAAATAGATAGATACCAGAAGGTAGCTGATATATCTAAAATGTTTATATTCTGAACTGTTGAGATGAATCTTTTTAATAGTTGAGTTCATGAGTCAATTAAAGCTAGATCATTATGGAAAACTTGGGAGCATTGGACGGCCGTTTCGTCCTAGAACGAGACTCCTGAACAGTGCGCATCCACGATCCCGCCCCGCGGGATTCGAATATGGGACCTCGACTATTAAGTTACTATAATATTCACAAAGAAAACCTGATAATAAATCTTTTTATTTAGAATACAATTCACTTTCTTATTCTTTGTCCTCACACATCTCAATTTCAAGTACGTAAGATTAAATGTTGTGTATAGAGTCATTATTCTCATGACCTGAAATCTTTTAATCTCTTCCATTTTCTCATATTTGTAAACGGCAAAATGCAATAAAATGTAAACATCAATAACAATTCATTGAGTGTATCATATTCGTGAACTGTCACCAATATAAATAGTGAAGATTTCAGCTATTTTTCATTACTCTTCATTTAAGAAATGGGAGCACAAATCGTGAAAGCTAACCTTGCTGTAACTATCTTATGGATATGGTGTTTAATGACGACTGAAACAAACAACTGTTCAGTACCAATAGTAACTGATGAAACAGGTAAATTGTATATTCTAAACATAAATGTAATCTACGTGTTTGTACTTAAACAATGAATATGGTAAGTATTAGTTTTAGTCTGAGGATTAGTAGTAGTAGTAATTGTTATAGTAGTAGTAGTAGTAGTAGTAGTAGTAGTTTTCGTTGAAGTAACCTGACCAACCTTCATAATATCATATACTTAAACGTACTAATTTCTTTCAGCTGTGTTATCCTTCGTTTTAGTATTTATGATACCCAATCTTGAATTATAAATAGGGCCTGTTCTTCAACATAGACTGAACAGATCTACTATAGTCTTCAGTAGTCATTAAATCACTCTCATCACACAATCCGAAGATAAGCGTGATGTTTATCCAACTCTCAGTGCGTGAATGAGTACTCGGTACATTTTTCACTGAAGCCAATTTTTCTCAAGACTGCATTTCAATGTATTTTACTTGTTCTGACGCATTACATTCACGCGCGTTTGTTGAAAACTAAAGATAACATTTTTACATCAGTCTTCTCGGTCGAGAAGTCTTTGCTAGTACGTACAATCTGCCAGTAGACATAAGATTTACAGTAGTTATCATAGTCGAGCATAATTTCTTTAATGTTCGACAATTAATGAAAATCAATTCAGTTTGCACCTTTTCTTCGCATCTAAACAGCTCCTTTGCACTCATTTGCTTAACGTTACGTGGAATCGTATAGATCATCACAATTGTATGTAAGCATTTACATTATAAGTAACGAAGCGATAGTCAGTCTACATAACATATTTCCTCTGTTTAGGAACAATAAACTATACCAGCAAAATTTTCAATCTCTCATTAACGAAAGATCGAACATTAACAATACAAAACAAAAGTTGTACAACAGTATTAAAATTACCACCACCATCTGAGGTGGAGAAAAATATACGTAAAGGATATCGTACAGCCTCCGTGTAAGTTACACTGAATGAGTGATTATAATGTTAATCAGGTGTTTATTTGCATTGTTTCATTTAAACATTTCATTGCACTTGAGTGGTTGACTCAACTTTTGATGACAATCATAATACAAAGTCACCTAAATTATTTCAACATTGACTGTAAGAATCCATGACCTTCAGATCTCGAGACAACAGACTAAACTTCAAACCACTGAGTCGACATTGTTGTGTTATGTAGTGGTTCTACTCTGACATTAATGCAAATTCCGACTATATTCGTGCAAAAATCCAATAGTAGTATGTAATTCAAGTGCGATTCACCCGCCAACAAATCAAACAGACAAAATGTGTACACTCATTCATAAAAATATTTATACGTATATTTTTCCCATATTAAATAAATCCACATTCTTAACCAATGACATACACCTCATTAAGTAGAAAACGGTAACCAACTCATGGTCAGTAATATACGCATATCAGTAGACAACGTCTGATCAATCTACTGAACCAGACGTCAAAAAGATTACATTTAGAAACATCTAAATGGAGTAAGTTAGCCACAATAGAAAGATTCGACGATAGACATAACTGTTGCGGTAGAACTTTTATTTATTTTACAATTTTATTTTAGCACGTAGATATTGGTACAAGGAGGCACCAAATACATATGCGCCACACAGACCTCATTTGATATGCGTGAGGTCTGTGATACTGCCCGGGTGCCCGAACCGAAGCAGGTGATTTTTCAGGGGGCCACACCCGGAGCCTTCGACCTGAATATCTGATCCACAAGATAGTGGAGCATCGTAAGGAGCTGCAGTCCCATGGTAGCCGGTGACCAATGATTGGTTCATACGCCATTTGTTCTCTCAGGATACTGGCGCCCATGTTCACCATTGGTTTGAGATCCGGTTATAGCGCCGGACATTCGCTTTTCGTCCTCTCATTTTCGTAAACAACAGTAATGCCACGAGAAGGCAGTGAGTAGGACTTCCCTGGCAGAGGTTATATAGGCGTGGCCATGTGAGAGCATTTCGAGAGAGAGAGCGGACTCTCCATACTCTCGTCTGTACCACGGCATTTGGGGGCTAGGGAGAACTGAAGACATTTGCTTGATTAAAACCTTCATATTGAATATTATTAATTTCACTGTGCTTCTGGATGTATTTGTTTTATTCAACTTCTGAACTTGTTTTTTATATCATTATTTCGGACATTTTGGTTTCTCTTTGTCTTTGGTTTGGTATTTGGACGTTTTTCCTCCGGGAATCTACAAAATTGAAGGTTCGTTTTGTAGTTGTTAGTTATTGTTGGAACGCCATTTCTATCGACTATTTGTAAATTGCGAATAAACTTCGGTACCTAAACTGGAGTTTGGTTCTCTTGTTAATTTTGGTTCGTAAATTGCAAATAGATCGATATACTGTACTTCAATAACGGGAACGAGCAAAAACTTGGGCGTAACAGCAACCGCTTGTAATAACAAAATTGTCTCCAATTAGATCTTAACTTTAAGTGATATATATATATATATATATATATATATATATATATATATATATCACGTGAAAAATCTCAAACACTGATTACCTATATAACATGTGTCTCAACCTAGTCTGTTGTGTGGTGCATTTCTGGCTAAATACCCACTAAATTGTAGCATCACGCAGAATGTTTCCTAAAACATAGTTCATGTCTGTGAATTCCTATTTACTGTCTTTGCATGCTATTTTAACACATCTTCAGAGTAACCTATTTTGGCACACAAATACTTATGCTTTAACAAATGAAATTAAATATGATCTGTCACTGTCAGTATTACAATAGTGCTTTATTTTTATTTTTCGCAGTTTATGTAACAATAATTCCCGATAGAAACAAAATAATCTCAAGAAGAAAAACACGCATTTTTAATTTCAAATACTCTGAACTGGATTCGTAGTTGCAGTTGTATTATCACCATTATCAGCGGTAATAGTAGTATCAATAATATCATCAGTTTTACTAGGATAAGTAGTAGTTGTCGTAATATTCATAGTTGAATACATTTTATTTTGACATAGAAAGAATTGTCTTTTGATTTTGATTTCTCTGGATAACATAGCGAAAAAAATATAACGTGGGTAACTAAACACTCATTGTCCATACATAGAAACTTATTCTAGTCATATTTCAAATGAATTCAAAAATGATGTAGACTTGGTTGAACAGAGAGGGATCACGATAGCTCATGAGGTGAATGATCTCAAAACGAGTTTCACAAAACAAGTAGAAATCATTGATGAATAATCATCACACCATAACTCTTTACCTTCTAAATTGCCTAATTTTCATTCAACCATGACGAAACCATATGGAACTCAATAAGAGAAACAATTTCTCATCAACCTCGTAGTCTGTGTTCAGTGGTTCTGATATCCACTCATGTTCGGATAGATCCTTCATACTTCACCAATGGTTTCTGCATGTAGGAATAATGCGATGAGTTTCATCTGATTTTGTCCAAATCCGTCTACTAACACAGTAAAGATCTATTTTGAGAATTCCATATGGTATTAAGCATAAAATATTGAATAAAGTAGGCATCTTAACTATTGGCTGTATGTATCCGCCTCATTCTCATTTTTTTTGAAACCTTCGGTTACGAGTTTCATCGCAACATCAAACAGTTCATTTGGTAGCTACTACGCTTGTTTCTCAGTCGACGTATTGACTGCTGATGCGTCTATGTAAAATACCTACTATTTTCATCTGAAACTATTTCAAATGGAATGATGATACTCTCATTCCATCACTTCTACATTTTAAAACACTTATATCCTCACTGTCTTTGATGAATATAATGAATCACAAAACACACTTTCCACTACTCATAGTGTCAATCAGACCAAAATAATTCAGCATAGAACACAATTACTTTTTGCTTATCACGTCAAAATAAAAATGCCAAATGATGCGACATTGAAAATACAATAGGAACATTTCAAGCTGCCGGCGAATAATAATAACAATAATAATGGTAACTGTTAGTCAACACCAAAGTTACGAGTTTCGATCCAAACGTCATCACAATCTTATCTGAAACTTGCGGAACTACTTCAGCCACATCAAAAAGTACAGATAAACGGCTACTTACACAAGATACTCCAGACACATTGGTCTGATATCATCAGTAATAATAAAGTCAGGCAGCATCCAGCTGAATAGGATATTAGCGAAAGACACAAAAGTTAAGTGGGTCACACTTAACGGAAGTCGTCAAATTACATAGTGAAGAAAGTTCAAAACTGGAGTGCGAAAGGCAAAACGTAACGAATGGTAACAGTAGTAACGTCGATGAAACTTCAAGTTCTCATACATACGAATTTTCTTGATCGGATTTCATCAAACAGAAAAAGAAACTTAATACATTTTTCATTACCAAGGGCTGGGTGAATCTGTTGTGAAGGCACGATTGATGAGGAGAAATACAAGTCCCAAAAAATATTCATCAAACGTGATAATTACTCTTGGTTTTTTGACAGAAACATTAAGCTTAAACTACAAACTGGAAGACCCCACAAAATTCCAGAAAACATCCATGGACATTGAGTTCTAGGGAGATGCCGCTGCAGAACATTTGAAAAGCACTTAAGGGACGTCTTAGAATGAACTCTCTATGCTGTCCAAACTTGCATCGTTTATTCTAATTTCCCAATCACTCGTAAATGCGTCAAAGATAATCTGCCGCATTGTGCTAAATCAATGCTTATTTACGTGTTCGATTACTCTTTTACAACAGGTTCCATTAGCCACATTGAGCAAGCGCTTCTCGAATGCATCTTCGAATATTATCTTGTGTGTTTTTCTAAAGGCGAATCATACTTTTTTATTATCTTTCTTCGAATTCTCCACAATTAAGCAACTTTTTCAACATATGATACGACATACACTCACATTTGTTGCTTATCTATTAATACGATTGTACATCTTGAGTAAGGAAACTTCCCTCGTTGAATTATGCTTAAATCCTTCTAATATTACACCATAGATTAATTTAGATACCCAGATATTTTTCTGAATAAACAACACTTTCGAGATCACTACAAACAATATGACAATATTCCCACAAATTTCCAAAAACCATAACTGACACCATTTTTTATTTGTTGACAAACAAACGTTTAAATAAAACGCCTATCAGTGATAAGCCACCTGAAAAAACATTCTACATAATAAATAATGAAAAGGAAAAGACAGTTGACAAAAGTGCTAAACCACCGATATCACTATTTACCTAAAACTATTGATGTTCCATTTAGTTGCTCTGAAGTACAACTGTAAAAGAAATCTCTTGATCAACAAAACATTTAGTAATTCGATAGTGCCTTCCCAAACATTACGTGCCATTTGGTCTGGAATAGCACTGATTACTTTGATCATCTATCACATACCATTAAACAGCACATAGGTCTTTGATTTAACATCAATCAATGCAAGAATCACCGCTATTCAGCCACTACATAAACAAGAAAACGATGTAATTTGAGTTCACCCAGACATATTTATGGTCAGATTTGTAGACAATAAACATTCCAAAATGCTTTGCAAATTCCATTAAATCAATTAGTCGGATTATCTAATCATTGATCAACGAATAACTCTTATTGTTTACATTATAGGTTTTGTTACATTGAGTCGTTTAGTGGTATTTTTCGTATAAAACTGTAGTTTATGTCGGTAGATTATGGTTCATAACCTACATTTTATCTCATAAAACGGTTTTTCATTGGCCTATCGTTCGATTCATCTGTATAAATTGTGCATTTCTCCAGGTAATATCTCTAACAATAATAGGACAGTTGCAGTAAGTTATTCTGTTTTGTTTTCATAGTGAAATGTAATCTGTGACTGAGCTTGTTGACTTATCTTCTGATTAGAAATTTTATAGAATATTAGGATATGCAATAGGATGAGTTTATTTCAGGTACACAAGTGTTTTAGTCCATCAATATACTCTATGTCTGTATTATGAATGTAATACGTATTGTAACCCACTTACTAAACAAGAATTCTTTTGTTGAATTCAAGACTGAGACAACACATATGAGTGAACACTATTGTTGTCAATACGGTATTCATCAGACTTTACTCTATGGACATGTGAAAATATTAAACTGATCAAGGGAATTCATGAATCAACGATTACAGTGAAATAGATTACGGAACTGCAAATAATAGGTGAAACCTACAAATTGATGCTTGTCGAACAGGTGTACTATTGTACTATTAATGAGAAGCGTAATAGAGCAATGTAAGATTTCAAGGTTCATTGTCAACTCCACGAAATGTTCATCCAAGTTAATGGTGAAACGTAAGCTTGACATTGACTGTACGTTTTCCCAAATAAATTGATAGCTAATTGTTGAACTCATGAGTCAATTAAATCTAGACCACCATGGAGAACCTGGAAGCACCAGATGGCTGTTTCGTCCTAATATGGGACTCCTCAATCAGTACGTAATTCTAATGTAGATCATACACAATCCACTGATTATAGTCATTTTCTCTATGAAAGTGAGATAATATCAAAGTGACAATGAGTGAATACAGATGAATTTGATGCTAGGAAATAGTGAACAGTTTTATACCGATATTAGGCGTTAAGAACATCAAATTACCACACAATCGAATGGCGTATTAAATTAAATTAGTATTGTACAGAAATGATTTAATAATTACTCATTTCCATGAAAATGTCAATCATCGTGTGCTGCCTTCTACTATTAATATCGACTGTAGGAATGATATCTCAAATGTTCAAATTGTATATTGCTGTGGTGATTTTATGCACATTGTGCATAATGATGATTGAATCAGCCACATTTACAGTACCAATTGCGTTTGACGGGACAGGTATGTATATTATTTATTCATCAATAATATACTTAACATTATTATTGCTATTGTCAGTAGTAGTAGTACTAGTATTAGTAGTAGTGTGGTATGCACGGTTACACATAAGTAATAGATCGTATGAATTGGAAGTAGAATAGCTACCATCAAAACAGTGAGGTAAACAGAAGAGGAAGGAAAACGAAGAATAGTCGAAATAATAACAGGATCGGAAGAATGATGAAGTGTGTAAAGGCCAATTGATGGGATATGTGTAAGGGATGTATTAATTGTAAGATTTTCATATTTTACAGAGGCATTTTGTGATTCAGAACAAAACACTAAACTGGTTGTCCTCACCAAATCTCCATCCACTACAGTAGTAGTCGCAATAATAATAATATTAAGAATACTAAAGTTAGTTGTTATAGTAGCTCTATCAATCTAAGCATCATTACATATTCCTCTGTTCACTTTTTAAAAAATTTTATTGACATTCTCAACATAATAACCAGGTTCGTTTCATACAGCTAGTAAAATGTCCATGAACTTAAGTACAAATCTATGATCACACTATTCGAGTAGATTTGTGATATGATTCACAATTCAATCAAAATATTTTACTTTGTAGCTTCACTAATCATAGTTTACTGGTTTTTAAACTTTAGGAGAAATGTATGTTACATTGGATGGGGTAAATATTTCACTCGACTCTAATCGTATATTGAAAATGGAGAACAGACATTGTATTACAACAGTCTCTTTAGCATCACCAAGTGAAGAAGAAATAGCAACTCAAACTGGATATCGTGATGCTAGTTTGTAAGTTCTTAAATATGAGAAAGATAATCTGTGGAAATGACTGATAAATGCATTTAAACCGAATATATGATAAAGTAGTCATATGAAAGAACAACCATTCTGATAATGTGGATCAGTTAAATGACCATTATAATACTATCTATTTATCTATCTATCTATCTATCTATCTATCTATCTATCTATCTATCTATCTATCTATCTATCTATCTATCTATCTATCTATCTATCTATCTATCTATCTATCCATCTATCTATCTATCTATCTATCTATCTATCCATACATCTATCTA